TACAAATTTTAAGTCAAAGGGGGTAGTTTTTTTTTGTTTTTATCACATGTATCTTCCACTCAGATCAACTGAGATCTGCAAGATCTTGATTTTCTAAAAATAAGAAGCCACAGGTAGAAGTGTGCGCCACACAATTATATCAACAATTGGAGGTGCATTTGCGCGCCACTTGTTTGCCACTCATTCTAGAATCTCCCCCCGTTGGCAAACAATGGCCTTTCAAGCGCGCTGGCGAGAGCTGAGACGAGAAGGATGGTCGTCAAAGAGACCCCAGGGCCTATCGGTGGACTTCACGTACATTATGCCTGGTCAAAGTACGAAGGGCGTCCGCGGGAAAGATTTTTTCGTGGGTGAAAAAGAGTTGATGGCCTTTTTGGATCAGCTGGATCTCGGTACGTATGATTATGCTTAGTGGGGATTTTTTTAGTCTAACGACTTGTGTTTGCATAGCGGAGCTTCGACAGCAGAGCTCTAAAAGGCCTGTACCAAATCCACAAGTCAGTACTGCGTGTGATCCTCCAGCCCAGAGTCGAGGGGAGATTGAAACAGGTATGAATTGCTATCCTGTATTAGATGCAATATCAACTGATTGTATCGTGTATCATACAGCCGTCGCTACATCCAGCACACCTGTACGAGATGCAACTGAGTACAACGACTCAGGACCGCCAGGTAGCCCAACTGAGTTACCAGATAAAGCGATTTGTACAAGTAATGAAGGTATGATGCTCTCGTGTATAATAAATGCTTTAGATGTCTAATCTTTTGTGTCTTGTACAGGTTTAACGGCCCCTACCAGCTCGCAAGAGTGCAGCGTTGGTGGTGATGCTCTGATTGCAACATCAACCCACATCTCGCCTGCATCGGGTGAAGACGGTGGGCTACTATTTTGTTGATGTGAAACTGAGGTATACATCAATGCGTGTTTTGGTTTGTGCCTCAGAGATACCACTTGCTCAGCGAGCCTTAGAGTATGACCTGTTGGGAGATGACGATAGCAGCGAAGAAGACGTTGTTGAGAGTGACGAAGAGGTCGTGAGTCTCGTGAATGAAGGTGGCGATGAGATAGAACCTCCATCGGAGGTAGTGACGAATGAACCTGATGCAGTACAGCCTCTTGCGATAGGTATTGTTATAATGTCCATACACTTTTGTATTTTACGTTACTTATTTATATCGTGTATTCTTGTTAGTAGACGACCCAAACCTTGTGCAGCCTGGTGAAAGACCTGAGGATTTTGCTGGCCTTGATTCGGATGACAACTCTGAACATGGGTCTGTGTACGACGACGACGATGACTTGGGACCAGCCTGACCCTGCTGAAGTTGAAGATACTGAGCCTCCAGTAGATATGCATTTTGATGAGTCACTTCTCGAAGCCGTTGGTGGAGCTGACTTCATTTCAGGTGGGCGCATACACAAGAACATACTGACAGACATGAAGTTCAATGGTTGGACTGCACCGAGAACTGAGTTACCGTATCCCTACATGGAGGAGCCGTACGATATGAGACCAGACGATTGGATCAGTGAAGATTATCCAAACATTTACAATGGAGAGAGTGGCCCTACTGCGGAAGCGTTGTTGGCTGCTGAAACTGCTTCTGGGGCTTTCTTTTGCTTTGCACCGACACAGATGTGGGAAAATATTGCCGGTGAGACTGTTGACTACTACAACGAGCACATGGCCGCTCGTGTGGAGGCCCAGTATGCCAAACAGAAAGCTCGGAAGTTGAAGCGTCCAGACTTTCAAGTCCAGACTCCAGAACAAATCAAGACGTGGCTCGAGAAGGTGGTTGATGTTTCGGGAAGAGAGGTTTGCATTTTTGTTGGTTTGCTTATCGCGCGGACAATTTGTCCGAACAAGGAAAAGTTTGAGAACCATTGGAAGACCACTGATGAAGGGGCCATTCCTCGGGGCTGTTTTGGCCAGTTCATGACCAGAGACCGCTTCGCTCACATATCTCGAAACCTACACTTCAGCAATAGTGATCCGCGTGCCGCGTGTGATAGAGCGTGGAAATTGCGTCTTGTATCCGACACTCTGCAAGAAACGTTCCTGCGCAATTGGATTTTACCGACAGTGATGGTATTCGATGAAGCTATGCTTCCGTCGCGCTCCACCTCCAATCGCATGCGAGTGTTCATGAAGGATAAACCTCACAAATGGGGAACTAAACGCTTCATGCTGAACTGCTCGAAAACAGCATATTGCATACGGTGAGTAAAAGCGAGCCTTCGGGCGCGCTTTTTTTTTTGGCTTCTAAGTTCTCTTATCGTGTCTAGTACATTTTAACTGACGCTGTGCAACATGTATGGTACAGTTTCGAGGTGTATTGCGGCAAACAGCAGCTACAAGTCACAAGTACACCACCTGACACAAATTGCGGACCAGCAGCAGTCGTGCGAAATCTTCGCCATGTATTTGGACCTACTGGACCTCCAAAGTTTCGGTTGATTATCACCGACCGATTCTATACGTCCGTCGTCCTTGCAATGCAGTTGCTGACCATGAAGTTCTACAGTATTGATACTGTTATGACCAACAAACAAGGTTTGTGCGAAGCTATTCTTCCACCAAAGAAGAAGAACGGGAAACGTGCTTCAAACAAGAGGCCATCACATATTGTGAAAGGGACATATCAAGTGGCTGAGTGTCTGAAGGTGCCCACGATCAAAGCGGTTCGTTGGTATGACAACCAAGGTGTCTTCTTTCTTGCAGCGGGAGGAAGCGCAGCTAAGGATCGTATTGTTCGTCGCGATCAAGGCACCAGAGAGCTGGCGGAAATGATGGCACCCAGACTGGTGAAAGACTATCAAACATACGTACACACATTAGCTGCCTCGAAGATATGTATAACAACCAAATTGGTCCACCGCTCTTGGAAAGTGAGCGATTCGGTTCATTATTTAGGTCCGATTGGCCAAAGTTTGAAATAGGCACAATCACCCGAACTTTGTCGACAAACACAACAAGATGCGAGCCAGCACCTGTGCAGGCGACAGCCTATCAGAGTACCGTACATGTCAGTGTAATGACTCATTCCTTCATGTATGACTCATTCATTACTGCACTCATAGCACGGCGACAGTGCACCAGGGCACGCGCCTCTGTAGCCTGTGGCGGCACCACAGCAGTCTGTGCGAGTCGTCGCTTTAGAAAATGCAAATTGTCTCTATTAAGTGCGAAACTGAGCCTCTATGTTCGACTCCCCCTCTATTGTTTCTGCTGAGTAATTAAGCACTCATCTACTCACAAATTGCACACGTCTCTGCTTGTTATTTTTTTACATTTTTGATATGTTCGGCGGTCTCACCTCCAGAATCCTGCACCTGCAACATCTCAATGTCTTCTGTGGGGGCGGCTTTGCCTCCAACACTAGCAATGTATCATTCTCTTCTGTGGTGGCAGCAGCTTCAACAGGTCCGGCATCGGTGCGAGGCTTGCACTACGAGCGGCTGTGGTAGTGCCATTTGGTTGCCCATCAAAGCGCATATTAACACCAGTTCCGTATTATCACGACTGACGGTACTGTAACGCTCATGAGTCATGGCCCGTTCGCTATTCACGCAGATTCTGGCCCCAAAAATTCCGTGACTGGAGTGAAGCTGAGAGCAGCTACCGCATGTATTATTAATAGTGAGCAGTGGACGTTGGGAGAGTTGTTTAAGTTCGAGAAGTCGAACGTGTTAGAGACCCTTTAACCCCCCCAACGCGAGAGCTTCTGGCTGCGCCTATTTCCCGAAACCCCATACACGATATTATTTATCTCAAAGATGGGAGCACATAGTTAAGTCTAGTTGCTAGTTATCATGTATTGGCCACAGCCAGGGCACACCCCACACCCCACGTCTTGATTGCTTTCGTATCGTGTATAGCAATGTACCCATCCGGTAAATGTGACTGCACGATACAGGATATTTACAATAACGTGTCCGTGTAGTGCACAGACAGCGCAGTAGTAGGTGCAAGACGGGTCACATATTTGCTGAAATTTAGAGTTTGTAGACAGCTGATATACATGTATATTTAAAACAAGTAAAAAACAAGAGCCAGAAGATAGTCAGACGAGTCTAGCTGCCGTGATCACTAGTGCGCGCACGCTTTCGTTGGCGAAGGCTTCTTGGAGCTTCATTTCCATTGTCTCTGACGTCACCTTCGTCGCTGCAATCACTGCCGTCTCCCGTATTGCTTTGCGCTGGCTTACGCGCACGAATATGGCGCTTCGCGCGCGCCTGAGGGATGCGTGTACCGTTTTTCCAGTGTCTGTGCGAGATTTCGAAGCACGAGAGTGCCTGCCCGTTGCTTGTGTGCTTGACCTTGTTGCACAGGAAGACTCGCGCCGCTTGTTGGTGCTTGGACGACGATTTCAGCTTACACCCACCACAGAAAAACGCACTTTCACCTCCACGCGATTCACTGGCTGCGTTCAGCACTGAACAGACCTTACAGGCGCGTTGGCGGCGTTTTCTGGTATCCGTTGTGTTACCTTTACGCCACTCATCCGTTTGCACCGGAACGTGACTGTTAGCAGTTTCTCTGGACTTGGTGGGGGTGGGCTGCATGCCGCGATGACGTAGTATTTGCTTCCAATCGTCCGTTTGTAGTTGGCACAGCTCCAGGTGGAGCATTTTAAGGAAGTACACGTGCGACACCTTTGACTTTCCATCGTAAGTCCGGCGACAATTGAAAAGAATGTACGCGTTGATTATGACCAGGTCAATAAGACCAAGGAAGAGTGACTTGTAATACTTCTTGTATCGACGCGAAAGCTGCAGTGAGTATCTAAATACAGATTACGTATAGGACAAGATAAGCATTCCATGTTAAACCGTACATATTCAATAACAGCACTTACCTCTGTAGACGTAGCTGGTCGTGTACGTCCACACCTCTCATGTGCTTTCATGTAGGAATCCTCGCGACTATAGTTTATATACGTGGACAGCTCTGTCGGAAGCTTTTAGGTGGCGAGATGCCTGTTAGGACGCGAGGGCCTCAAGAGGTTTTATCTGTGTGCAGCTCAGGGAAGCGGTCTCGTAGCCATTGGCAAAGGAAGGCGAAGACTAGGTCTCGCTTTGGGTCCTCGAAGACGCTGTGGAAGACGCCGTCGAACACTTTGAACTGTTTGTCCATGTTGGCGAATTTGTCGTGAAATTTCCTCGTCACGCCTTGATCGGCGATGTGGTCTTCCGATCCGACCAGGAACAGCACACTTATAGCACAGAAGCCGCTCCCGGCTTGCTTGATGCTCTTGTCTTTCGTCAAGCGGTGCATGGCGCTGAGTGTCTGTTGCATCGTCCTGGCAGTGATGTCGCTCTTTGTCGCCAACACGTCGGCCTTGAAGTCTTCTAAGGTACCAGGATCTCGCCAGAGCAGCTCGTAGTCAACACCCGGCACCAGACGCACCCGAGGCAGTAGCAGAGCCAAAGGCTGGATGAACGCCGCCTGAACCTTCCAGGGCGTCGACATCTCCATGCCGACCGTTGGCCCAGCCCAGAAACCGGCGTAGAATTTGTGTTGTCCGGAGAGAACGACGTGCAACGCCACGAGCGACCCGAAAGACGTGCCGGCAATGATCAAGGGCGGCATCAAGAGGCTGGTTTGGGGGAAGATTGCATTCTTGGCGAACGCAACGTACGTATCCGTGTCTTCCACGAGCTGGCGGAAGCTGCGTACGTGGCCACGTGTCTTGTGGCCGTCGCAATCACTGGCGCCATGGTTCACCATGTCGTAGCTGATGACGCCGAAGCCTTCTTCACACAGGCATTCGTACAATGACATGTACCGGCGGCAGTGATCACCCGCGCCATGGAGATACAACACGACGCCGCGCAGCGTGCGCTTGGACGGCGGGTAGAGCGAAAAGTAGAAGAGCGATTGCCCGCGCAGGTTCTGGAATCGACCTTCAAAGTGGCGCAAACCCGATGGCACGTGCACTCCGAAGGAGCTGCTGAGCGACCCCGAGGAGGAGGACGGCGACGCCCACGTTGCGGCCGACATGGCAACTTAGCAGCAACACTTTCACCTGTTTAGCCGCAGCTCGAGAACTGCGCGTTCACCCCCGAGACGGACTGTTGAATGCCACGCTGGACACGAATAATTCAGTTCAAGTCGACCGTGGCGTGTTCTTCAGGGGGCGCGTCTTTATCGGAGACTCAACGAATTAGGCGCGCTGAATGCACTGGAGCTCGGACAGGCAAATCTCCGCTCTCCTTCTGCTGCTGCCCACAATCTCCGCTCTCTAGTGTTGTGCCGTCGCAGTTACCGTAGTCAGGCCCTGATTGACTTCAGGCCCTGACTGAATTAGGGGGGCAGACACTGGGTGCGAAAGCTCCAGCCCCTGTGTTACTACAGGCTGTAAGCGTTCGCGCCGACCCATTGTACAGTGAACTGCACTGAGTAGCAGCTACCGACGTTGGGTGAACCTGGCAACTTGGCTCGACGACAGGGTCACAGGTTTTAAACTATACATGTAGCGTTGCCAGTTGCACAATATCGGATACTTCCGATGATCACTTCAACCTTCTTCCGTCTTACATGTATTAATAACTCCCCCAGCCCGGCTCCCTTTGTAAACCCCATGTACAGTACATGTAATGTGTTTTACGTTTATCGCGTAGCCTACATACTCCGTGCTAGACTTTATATTGCTAGTCAGCGGGGTAAAAAAGCCCAGTGCTAAAGCCCATCTTTTAATTAGGGCTAGGGGACAGTAATCATGGATGTTGCCTATGGTTACTATGATTTCTCCATGATTCCCCCGAAGTATATTACGGAGTGAGGTATTTTATTTTGAGCATGTATTCACCACGTTGGGTCACGGCCAAAACATGTTCGCACCACTACCCGATAATTGAAGACTGAACGCGATTTTCGCCTGTCGGACCCTCATACTGCATGAGCAATACTACCACGTGTCATAAATGATGTCCATGTATTCCCCATTTATAACCATGGTTAAATCATGTTTCCAGTACGATATATAATTTGACGAGTGAGAGATTAGCTGGGGTGTCGGTCAGATCCCCCCTCTTATCTTGCATGATCCAGAACTACTTAGTAGAGTATAGAGAAACGCGCAATGTGCATGTATTCATCGTGTTAGCGGTGCATCTTAGTCCTGTTCACCTTTACTCGCATCGCTAAAGTCCACCATGGTCCGAAGAACGTCCCACCGCCGGCGCAGCAATCCCATTGTCGTGTAATCACTTCACATTTCCTTAACGAATCGTCGCCAGAAGTTCAAGATCATGAATAGACCACAGTTATCGCTGTCCTTTTGGATCGGGCTGTGTACCGAGACGACATGGTACTCCACTGAATAAGCCTTCCGCCCAACTCTGCGAGCAGGTTCTGGTTCGACCGCTTATCGAAACTATCGTAGCAGTAGATATTTGTTCTTGGTCGATCAATAACGAGGCACACCCAGTGATTTCTGTGATGTTCAAAGGCATAAATACCAAATCCTTGTCAGCAGCTGCTACCAAACACAGCGTTCGAGGAGGGATTCGTTTGCCTTTACTCGGCGCAGGTGTATGCAATGACAGCAGGAAAAGCGTCGTGTTGTTCTTGAACTTCTCCGCCAGGGTCATCATGAAGGCGTTAATTAGGCTGTCGTGATACCAGCACTCGCTGCGGACACAGTACAGTTGGGTCCAATCGAGACGTAGACGAAGTAGTTTCGCTGCCCTCCTTTTCTTCCTGATCTGGTTCACTACTATCATCATTGTCGCTGGATTGAAGATCGCCACTGTCTGCAGTGTCGCTATTCTCCTTTGAATTGTTGTCAGCCTTATCATCACCAACGTCTCGAATTGGCCCCGCAATATCATCGGTGTTCTGAGCATTTGGTACGTCATCAAGCACAGTCTCGGTCATCATCATACTCCCAGAAGAGACTTGCAGCTCAGCGTCATCGAGCAGATTGTCCGCATCGCTACTGCTACTTGACGACACTTCCATGTCCAGGGCTCTTAAGATGCTGGCGGTATTCTTTGTCCGAACCATGATGATGTGTAACATTAATACATGGGAGAGACATGGAACAAACATGGAAGACCTCTTTAGCCTGACTATCTATCATCGCCATGAAGGTCACGGATCAAACATATCTGAACAGAAACTCCAGCGAGACCAAGTGATAGTAATGCAGTGGTTACTAAGTGACAGTAGTACACAAAGAGTTAGTTAAAGAGTTAGTTGTCGAACATGCATCGCATGGTAACATCGTATTAGATGTGTCATACCGTTTCGTAGAGAACTCTGGTCGTGCTTCGCAACTGCTTCACGGTGGTGTATTGCGCGGGTGAGCGATTCTGGGCGGCTGCAGGCATTTCATCAGCAAAAGCTGCATCCATATCCAATCAACAAACACATTCGCACCTCTTCGAGGTTTCTCTACTTCGGAGCCTTTAAAGCAAACACAGAGACGATTAGGGGCCTGGAATCAGGTTCTGGGGCGGATGAGACGCCTCTACAGTCCAACACAACATGATTCAGCAGCAGGTTGCGTTAGTTTGCGTCCTGTACGCGTCAATGAAGATGATGGCGCAAGGGAGATTCTGCGTACCTGCGGGCAGACGTGGGGGGGGGGGCGCAGAGAAGCCACTGTCGGTTGGCGGGGGTGTCGGGGTCTTGCCAGGACGCGCGGGGCAGCAGTAGCGAGCGGTTCGCCTTCTCGTGACGCGTGCCAGACAAATGACTGGCTTTCCCGCCTGTATTTTAAAACGGGAAAATATGTTAAATTACAAACATGGTCAGCCATGGGCCAAATCATGTATAAATCATAGTGTAGAAATCATGGGCTGTAGATTTGCCGGTAAAAAAAAGCAGAGCCACCGATATCATACTAGGTACAATACCGGTATACCTTTTCCGCATACGTCAGGAATGTGAGGCTCTCCGTGCCCCCCCCCTCCCTCCCCCTCGTCCTTGGTGAAAATAATGCTTGCTGTGTCGCTCTCCTGATCCGGCCTCTTCTTCAGTGTTGGGCAGCCCCAGGTCCTGTTTCCAACCGGTGCCAACTGCTCGGTGCCATGATCGTAGTATCTGTTCTTCTCCTTGCACGTATCCGACTCACCGGACGGTAACAGGTTCGACGCCGAGTGGCTCGATCTGTAGTATCTGTTCTGGTTCCTTTTTGCCTCCATCGCCGAGTCCTTCGCCCGCCGTCCACTGAGTACAAAGTCCATCGCTGGAGTCCGCCCTACGCCTTATCCTCGATGCGCGTCCAGTTCATCTTCCTGATCCATGCCGTTAATGGCCCGCTCGCTACGGCGAGCCCGGTCATAGTCGCAGCGAAGCCTTCTGCGCGCCGTGACCGAGACCACAGTGTACATCACCGCAGCGCCTTGCCTACAAAGACGCCTGCACAGTCCCGTCAAAGCTCGAGGGCGACGTCCGCAGAGTGGCGCCGAGGCTCAGCTCGGCGCCATCTACCGGGAGGGCGCTACTCCAACCCGACCAAAAAATCATGTACAGTATATTAAGCTAAACCTACCCCATTGTACACCAGAAATATAATCATGTACCGGTATTGAAGTTCATATTAAGTTTTGACCCTTTCTTATTCCCTGTACAGAAAGACACGATAGTTTTGGCTTTCGTACATGATACTAGCCTTTACCATGTATTAGTTGCGTAGAGTAACAGCGCTCAAGTGCTATGGTCCATAATAATAGAAGTGCCACCAGCTGTAAATTGACAATACTTAAATCAAGACAATATTGCGCGAAGTAGCAGCTGTCATTACGACACCACTGCACGCGACCCCCTTCTGCAGCCGAGCTCGAATGCTTCGCTTGCCGTTCCTCCAGCACTCATGCCAGATATCGAAGCAGGTGCGTGCCTTGTCGTCGTATGTGTGCTTGACCTAGTTGCACAAGAAGGCCCTGGGCGACTTGCCTTTCCGGCACTTCGCCAACACGCAAGTAGAGCAGTAGAAAGTCGTATCGCCGCCACTAATATATTTGTTTTCAAGACCGAGCATTCTTTGCAAGCTCGTTGGCGTCGCTTCGTACATCCGTCCGTATTGCCTTTCCGCATTTCCTCGGTAAGAACAGGAGTATGCGCCATAGCTCCCGTAGTGACCTTTCGCTTGATTGGAGTTCCCTGGAGGCCTTGGGTGCGACGCTTACCCCAATCAGATTCATCGAGATGCAACTGTTTCTGAAAACCTATGTGCGAGGCCTTGGGTTTACCCACAGCTTTGCGTGCTTAATTGAACACGATAAACGCGTTCGTGATATCGAGATCCACGAAGCCGAGAAACAAGCTTTTACAATACGTTTTGTAGCGCACAGCTAGCTGAAGAGGGTACCTAATACAACATGTCCAATACAAGATATTAATTGATGTTAGCATGCCTTGTACACGATAATAAAAGTAACCTTTGTACTGTAGTCGCAGCTGGTCGTGAGCGTCGACGCCGCCCATGAACATTTGATAGTTCTTCAGTACTCACGGGCATGCCACTTCGGTCTGCTCGACGGGTTTTTCCGGACGAACAACTCGGTCCATCTCAACGCTCTCTGCAGTGCACAACATGTGCACCGATCTGTTGTCCCACCACTGCAGCATTTTGAGATCAGCTACCTGCGTGAACTCTGTGTCTGTAAACGTCCATCAGTCAATATGGGCTGACCGCTGCTTACAATGACGGCGTCGCATAATCCCAAGCGCTTAGTTACCACAGTGCCAACACTGTAGAACCCCTGTGATAGTAGATGCATGGCTAAAGGCACGGACGTATGGTAGCGATCCATAACTACAATACGCATTTCTTGAGGGTCAGAATCGCCGAAGACGTGCCTTAATTTGCGTGCTACTGCGGTAGCCCCAGTTTTGGGGTCCAGCGCTTCTTGTCCTTGAATAAAAGTGTTTTTGCCCAGATAAGGCTCAAACCTGTGTCAGACGTGATAATTATGGATGTTATCTTATCATACATGATAAGATAACTTTGGAGCAAAACAAAGTGAGCATGTGTGCTCAACACTTACCGG